TTAAGAAACTTTTACTTATTAATATTTCTTAATTTAAAATTAATTGACAAATTTTATTATTTCCAATGTTTTACAGTAATACATCTTATTTTTATAAATTTTATAAATTAACTTTATAAATAAATTGCCTTATAATAATATCTCAATTGTAATAAAAAATTATTAAATATCTCGAAACGCTTACAAATAAACAAAATACTAAATCAAAGAAGAATTTAAGAGATTAATGAAAACTTGATGTAAGTATACATAAATCCTTATTACAGATATAACTTTTATCGTATGATATGCTGTATATTTTATTGATAAGAATTAAAAACACTATGTAAGCCTTATAAAAAAATGTTTTATATTATAAATAGAAAATAAATTCTTAAGATATTAAGTTTTAGTAAACGTTAATATGTTTTGACACAACTTTGATCTCATTTTTTCTTGTAATGCATGTAACTATTATCTGATAATAATAACCGATTTCAATATATATTTAAGTTATTTCATTTCTAACATTAAAATGCTGTCTATATCTCAATCATTTGTATAGATTTTCTATTTATAATTATTATTCATAAAAAATATTACAAAACTTGTCTTATAGTGGTTGTGATTATTTAGTGTTTGATATTACGGTTAAAGAAGAGTTTATGGAAAGTCACGTATGAAATGAAGTGAACTCTATGTTCAATGAATGAACGGCCGTACAATTGAACGCTTATTTATCATCAAGTTACTCTCACAAACATTTAATTTGTGTCTCAAATCCGATAAATTAACGCTCACATCATATTTAAGCGTCTTATATTATATTACTAAATAAATCGGTTTAAATGAAATAATCAACAAGTATTATTACAATTTATAAACTCATCAAGGTATTGGGCTAAATCTAATAAATTGATCACTGGGTAAGGACATTAAAAATATTATTCAAATAATATTTCTTATAACTGTTACTATCATATATAGGCGAACCATTGGCGGGAAGTCCTCCAAAATAATGTCGTTAATAAAAAATTCGGAATTGAAACGAAAATTAATAAAAATATCACTGATTTGTGTGAAAAGAGAAGTGAATGTTTCATATATGCAACGAAAACAGTTGATTTTAAAGGCCGTTTCAAACGATGGATATTTCAGCAAATTAGGACAGATTTGGCAAACTTTAGAAACAGGAGGTATAGTATACCAGTTACTATAATAATTTAATAATACCAGTTCTACTTATTGTCTCGCATATCATGCAAACCATACAATTAGGTTAACAAAACTCTAAAAATATTTATTTACTCAATTAATAGTTAATTATCCGGTTTTGCATTATTTGCATGATTGCAATGGCATTGAAATGAATGCAAAGCTTGGAGAAGAATTTTCATCCTTTCAAATGCTTTACGAAGAGTTAGAAAGCATTGAAATACCAGTAATTGTGAGCAGTGCTCATCCCTGTGCCACAACATCTCATAATAACACAGATCTAACTCAAAGTTCCTCCTCTTGTGCCCAAATTTTTGTTGGATTCAAAACTATTGATAAAACATTCAATACATTACTAGAAGAGAATTGGAAGGACTGGACGGGCGCTCGAAATCTTTATCTCAATTTGTCGTCAGATTTCGGACTTTTAAAGATATGTTTTCTGAGAGGAATAAATACCAGTAATTTGGATACTTTTAGGTATATTCTGATTGCTTATTGTACTCATATTACCGATAAGAATCGCGTTTTGTTACTCGATTTCGTGGACAGGTTTCGATTACAACACCTCTCATGTTATCTATCAGTTTATACCAATGTATGTATTAAAAATGATACCACTTGAACAATTCTTACAGTTCAACCATCATATTACAAACAGTTGCCAATGCATTGAATTTTTATAACATAAATCTATACATGTTTTATGATAATTCTATACAGTATTAGATTTATGAGGTTCTGTTTCACTAGTGGTGGCACTAAATCACTTAACATACAATTGTCAGATTTTTAAATATTTATTTATTAATTTACGGTAATTATTATTATTATTATGACTAAATCACACTTAAAGTTAAGTTAATTGTATATAAAAATCTTGAATTATTTCAATTCATGTCTTAAATAATAAATAGTTATATAAATAAATCATTTATCAAATAAAATATGATATAAACAATAAATAAATATATATTCTATCATAAGCTGCCAATTAAGTTGAATGCCTTGAGTTTTTCGGGTAAATTATCCTTATATAAGACGGGATCCGCTCTAAACATATGATAAAAAACAGTTAGAATTTAATAAATAATATTTCCAATCAAATCAAACCTGAATTCCACGGCTTTTAATGGCATCGACTTATAAATAGCTGCAAAAAGGTTTATACAATCGGATCTCTGGTTCAAGTGCTGTATGACATCAGCGGAAAGCATGTCATTATTCGTACATTCAGGACATTTGAACTTTTTTCTTGGCGTCACTTTTATCGGAGACTTTGCCGTCACATTTGACACCTGATCCACCAAAACATCATTAATTCAAATTACATTATACGGTATTATAAATAAATAAAAACTACCAAAAAATTCATTGCAATGTCTTCACAATTCATATGTTTGTCAACCCATGACTTGATCTGAGCGGGCATTACGTTTGTATACAAATGATTGTAATACTAAACAAATGGAAAACTCGTTATTAGATATTTCTATTGCAATATACAGTAATCACAAAACCATATACTTTATGGTAAAAGGCGGCGCCGGTCAACACCATCGAGACATCATTAGTCCACTCGGACTCATACTTCCATTTGGCGGTCCGATTGTCCCATCGGTGCACACGAGACGGAAACCCCACTATTCTGTCGGGAAATTCTCTCCACACCTGATATCCAAACTCGAGTTCATCGGGGGTTAACATAACGATATCGTCATCAATGGCTAGAATGGCGTCCGTTTCGATGCATTCGTAAGGATAGAAGCGATTACTCAACTTATTTTCAGAGGTTGTGATGATCTGTAAGGGGATGTGAATGTCCGGCCATTTATTGAGTTGCGGCGGACTTTTCAACTGATTATTCCAGACGACCACAACTTTGACACAACTCTTGGCTTTCACTACACTTCTAATCACTTCATACAGACTTTCTAAGCGATCGTAAGTGAGTATAACAGCCGTAAAACCTATTGATTGTCGCGACGAAAATTTTGGACTAATTATTGCATAATCAGTGGTAAGGGAAGGGTTGGCTTGATTCCAGTGGTCGGCCGGTACCGCAGAATTCGGGAAAATTCGTTCGTTTATTATCTTAAGAGTAGTTAAAGCGATGGCTTTCATTGAACTGAAGTACGTTTTCCACAGGAAAGTGGTCTGAACTCTCATTTCGTCCATTTTCTTGTCCGGTATTAATGTCAATATTGCCATCAAATCAGACAAAGAATGGGAACGTATTCTCACTGAAGCTCGCGTCCAATCAATCTTCTCTTCAAATGGCAGCACATAATCATCAGAAATGATGACTGGAATACATCCAGACATCAGTGCATCGCTAAGCACAGGATGGCCTAAGAATACAGTTCTCAATATAAGACAAAACGTCGATTCAGTCAATACTTTTGGATAAATAAGTTTAATATTCCTGTAATGATTGCACATTTGAGTCTCATTGTTGTGTTTACTTTGATTGCATTCACTTCTTAAGACAATCAATTGGTCCGAGTGTTGAGACTCTAGAGCTGTGAGTATTTGTTGATCGCCGACAGACACTGAATCAAATTGAGTGCAAATGACAAACCATTTGCGATCTTTGGTTTGAATAGCATTTTCATTATACTTGTTATTCTGAAACTCATAACTAAATAAACTGAAGACTGGAATCGAGACGTCGAAAGTTGGTCTATAAGTCCACGAGTCAAAGCCGGCGCCGGCTATCAACGCGTCGCCAATATTCAGATCAGTGGTTGAGTCAGAGGCGGGAAGTGATCCCCAAATCATACTGAAGATGATATGATTGGCTCCACGACCCCAATGAGGAAGGGATGATAATAGGAGTGATATTTGGTGTGAATTGACTGTCAATTGATTGAGTAAATCAATGTTTGGTACGAATAGACAGGCCTTCTCAGGCTTGTCTGTATAGTAAGGACTCGTTATAATCGCTTCCAAGAGTTCGCGATATTGTCGTGAAATTGGACTCAAAATTGATTTACGGTTTGAATCAATGAAATCAATCGATGGATAGATATATACATTAATGAGTTCTTCATTGGTTAAAGTGATTGTATTGTCGTAATTACCACAACGATAGACATCGAAGCACTTGAAGTGATTGCACAGAGAGTTGGTGGCCTGAGGCGACACCTGATTGTCGTCAATCATCACCCGAACTGATTTGTGGCCATTGTTTAGCACATTAGCCCTCCATTCTTCCAGTGACTCGTGGGATGACTGTCCACTGAATCCAGTGAACGACAGGTTTGTCAGTGAAATCGATGACAACGACTGCCACCAAAAGCTTATGATATAGAGTGCGGATCCGATGACACCGATGAAGACTATGCAAAACAATGTGTTAATCAGTATATGAATGGGAATCCAATTGAACACTGATTTCAATCTATGGTTTGATCCGATTCTTGTGTATCGTTTGGCGTCCCAACCCAACCAAACCATTGTGTCTTCAATTTGATGATCACTCCACGGACCAGATCACTGATGGCTCACATTGTGGTCACATTTAAGTGTCTAATGACTCGCAGTTTATGTCAAATCAACTCATTTTCAGTACTATTTGTTTGCATTTCAAACTCATTTCAATCACTCATTCAATGCTTCACTCATTCAATGTTTGGTCAAAATGTATATTCACTGCAATATACGTATAATCAGAGCAATCGTTTTGTTCACATTTCCCATACAATTGCAACACAAACACGCAACAAATTCTTTGTGTGCATACTTTATGTCAAACATTTGATTCACTAGTTTTGAGCTATAAATCCCCAGAAATGTGTCGAAAAATCCCTGAATTGAGTGCATTGTCGGCGAAACACATGTTTATTATTGACGTTAAGAATTGCATTGAATTGAATGAAACACGTGTTTGTCTTTCAAAGACAATTGATGGCTAATTATGAGTAAAATAAATTTCATTTCGTGTGTTTATTGGATCAAAAGAGGGGTCACCAAAGAGGTGCCCAACAAAGTAGAGCTCACCAAAGAAGACCTCAAACGCATTATCGATGAACACAAACAACACCTGCCTGAAGATGAACAGTTGGTCAACGCACAAGAAGTGCTGCCATTATGTCATAGATTCACGTATTGTTTGTTTTGTTTGACAGAAATGACGATCAGATGAGTGTGTCGTCCGAAGAAGGGGAGGAAAACAATGAGAACGACGACAATATTGTGGAGAAGTATGATCTGGATAATTATGATGACGACAGTGAGGGAGAGTTGGGAACCAATAGTTTGAGTGCTTTGGCGAGTCTTACGGTCTTTGCCGATAACAACGACGACCCGTATATACAAAATGATGTCAATTCAGACGTAAGCCTGTCATCGAAATGTGATTACAATTACTGTTATAAACATTACTTTCGTTTCAGGAATCAGACGAAGAGGAAGACTTTCGGATCAAACCGACCGACAATTTAGTTCTCGTCGGACACGTCGAAAGCGATGCCTCTGTTCTTGAGGTCAAAGGTTAGGTCACTCTATGAGACATTATTTGTATAATTAATACAAGATTTGACGAAACAGTGTATAACGAAGAGGACGACCATTACGTACACCACGACATCATCCTTCCGTCGTATCCCATATGCATGGAGTGGATTGACTACAGTTCCGGTTGTGAAGAAGCCGTCAATCACGTGGCCATTGGAGATATGACTAAAGAGATAACCATATGGGACATGAATACTGTCAACTCATTAGAACCGGTCTCCAGACTCGATGGCCACTCGGACGCTGTACTGGACCTGTCGTACAACAGAAATGTGGGCAAAATCTTGTCGAGCGCTTCTGCCGATCAGAGCTGTTGTGTTTGGGATTTAGAGAAATGTGAAGTCATATCACGTTTCAATCACTTCAAGAGTAACGTTCAGTCCATTGAATTTCATCCCTTCGAAGCACAGACACTACTGTGCGGTGACACCAATGGCATGGTTTCCATCGGTGACTGTCAGAGCGGAGCCTTCAAGAAGTGGAAAGTGGAGGGAGAGTGTGAGATCGAGAAAGTCATTTGGAATCACTTGAATCCATACACATTCTTCTGCTCCACATCTGATGGAAATGTATTCAATTATGACGTCCGTAACGAACAGAAACCCATTTATTCAGTCAAAGCCCACTCGGACTCAGTGACAGGTTTGGCGCTCAGTCGCCAATGCCAGGGATGTCTGATCACAGCATCGACTGACAAACTCGTGAAGGTGTGGGACGTCGACGACAAAAGCGCTCATTTTATTACACAGTTTTCTGATTTAAATATCGGCGCCGTTTTGAGTTTGAGTCCAAACCCGGACTTACCATTCATTATAGCCGTCGGCGGAGACAATAATAAAGCGGAAAATTTTAAAATCATTGATATTTCAAAATCCAAAAAAGGTATGAGTTTTGAGTATTTATTGATATATGATTTGAATAATTAACAGATTATTAATAAATATTTTTAAATACATTAATAGTTTCGTCACATTTTGTTTCAAGAGTTAGTAAAATGAATGAAAAAAGTGTTAAAAAGAGAAGAGAAGAAGAGGTTTGAATGGAAAAAGTGATTGTTTTTAAGTTATTTATATTATATTATATCATATTATACTGTAATCTTATAATCTTAACAACAATATTATGAACACAAATAAATGGACTTTTCTTAAATATTTAATATTCTTAAATATTCTTTAAAGAGATTTAAATCACAGCTTAATTACAATTTAATGTTTGAATGTTTGGCCAATTCTTAAGACATCCGTTGGAATATTGTGTGAAAATAATGAGTGTTTAGTAGAGTTTATGCCATTTAGTGATCTGCTGTCTGGGCTGTTGTTTCATTTGAGTCCACAAGTCCTGACCCACAATGAAGTGTCCGATGTGTCTCTCTTTTCGGGAGTCCTCTCCCTCCACAGCTACCGGTGTTTCAGGCGATGACGGCGATTGAGAGCTCTCTGGTTTGAAAGACAATACAAACATAAAGGCCGACTGATTGCCCTCAAACGACATCAGGTCAAAGGTGAGGATCTCATTGTCGCCCCAAACCATCTTCTGATTGGAGCACTGAAAACATTTGATGAAATCATTTATTTTAAAAGATGGCAATCATTTAGATTTTTAAAAAGTTTTATACCGTCTTTTTCTTCTTAACCAACTTTCCATTGATGAACAGCAAAACGCGAACGTAATAACAAATAGTGGTTGTTGTCTGCATGTGTAAGGCATGACTGAGTGATGCCTTCATTACAGAAACGGTCACTCTTTTGGATGTGGGTAAGTACACGATCCCAATCAATAGGTCTCCCTTGGGCTTTGCAAATCAATTCATACCATTTAAACATTTATAACATTCATAATGTTTATATAATAATAGTCGCAATAAGACTATACAATAATGTTATATATTATTGATATTAATATAATAAAAGAAAAGAATATTCTGTAAATGACATTAACTAATAACAGTACAATTTGCATACACAAGTAAATATGTATGACTGAGACTTGTTGTATTGCAAGTCATTTATTACAACTGGTAGTTGACAAGAGACCAAATGAATGATTTCAAAACAAACCTCTTTTACTGAAGAAAGAGTGAATTCTTTGACTGAATTCTCAGTCGTGTTCTCGACTTTCTTTAAGGGGACGACTGCTTCTCCCAAACAGAGATCGTTGGCATACCTCTCGTCGTCGAATACCTTTACTCGGATCACCCCATCCTTTAAGATACTCTTTGGTAAGTCTTGACTGACAAACAACTCATTGAACACTGGGTTAAGGCATCGCTTAGCTGTAGAGGTCCGGTATAATGCACTCGGTATGGCTTCGAGTAAAATAAAGTTATTAAAGTTAAATTTGGGTTATGTTTTGAAGTTTATGTTAACTTTATATAGACTATACCATACAGCAAAGTATTAAAGAGTTGATAAGACAAACCTTTATTGATAAGACTGCGGCGTCTGTTCTTCAAACCGATTAAAATGATGGATACATAACAGGAAGGGTCGACCAAATAGTCTCTTTGGCGGAGTTGAGAGACTTCTATGATGTTAATGAGGAGCCGAATACTGGTGTTGGAAACGGTTTCGTATCGAACCTCCAGTTTAACGATTCCTGTGCTCTGTTTGTCGGAGCAATCGGAAGCAATCGATTGCTTTTTAGCCTTATTTTGATCGACAACTACAGAAACTTCATCATTGAGTTTGGATTTATGCTTTGATCCAATTTCACTGTTGGCCCCATAGTGTGGTATGACTGACAGCTGGAAGTGCTTTGACTCTTGTGTTAGAAGTTGTTTCGTTGAGTAACAGATTTTCATGTCCTCTTTCTTCTTAGAATTGGATCCAATAAACCACTTATGAAGCCAACAAACGGGTGATACGAAGCAAATGGTTATTATGAGACTCAATACAAACAAAGAGGAAGCGATTATTATTATTAATAATTTTTCGGTTTCACTCAACAGAAACACCATAATTGCAATTCTCTATGATTTATGACATAATCGGTTGAATATCTCTATGACAGCCACTGTTATAACCAATACTGTAGGCTCTACTCTATATTGTGCTCTACTCTACAAAGTCTGTAGAATATGATGTGAATAACACCTGAAATACAAAACCACAACAATATTATATCATTAAACAATTATTTTAAATATTAGTATATACCAATTAAATTAGTAATATAATACATTATTTGTATAAAATAAATTATAAGAAATTATTGTAGAATTTTAATATTTTAATATAAAGTATTTACTAGTTAGTAAATACAGTATCATATAAATATTACCTTATAACGGTAATAGTACTGTAAACGATAAACATTATTGTTTATTAATAATGTACAATATTAATATAATGGTACAGTAATACTGGTAATAGATAATACCACATTAGTTCATCAATATCTATCCTTTGTTTAATTAAAATATTTGAGAGAATTAAAAGTCAAAAACACCTGCACTTATACTATAATAATGAATAGACTGAAATGCAATACATTTAATAATTTCTGGGAATCTATTAACTCTAGACATCTATATACTGCATAATATTCTGTACCGTATATGCGCTTAGATACAAGAATATGTTCCCAGAATTTTAAACAATCAGATACATTTTGAATATACATTTATACAATAAGTTTAATGACTAATAATATGACTGTTTTCAAGATAAATTGCTCAATTTCAAGGGAACAATTAATTTGAAAATAATTTCCACATAACTACTAATTTATAATTTTTATTAAATTTTATAACCATTTTATCATATATGATCTGTGATGACTAAATTCTGTAGAATTATAGCAATTTTTATAGTAATGATATATTTGTTTTGAATTTATATGAATTAATTATATAATTTAATTACAAAAGTATTAAAATTTAATTAATTAATTAATTATAAGACTTTAGATTTAAACCTATAAATACGTATACCTTAAATATATATAAAAGTATTGTATTTTAAAATGATAACTGAATATTATGTAAAATTACTAATCTTAAAATTTAATAACATTTATATATTAAATTAAAATATTTCAAACATAATATTTTATAGTTATTGGAATAAATGTCTTATTCAATGAAAAGCTATAAATTACAATAAACACAAAATGAAACACAAGTGCCGTATACTTGTGGTGAATATAGTGTCTGAATTGAACACTATATTCAGTGCGACATGAAAGTTGACATATTTTTATACAGTAAGCAAACCATTAAATTAGTATTAAATGAATTCTCACCGATTCTTGAGTCACTGACTCCGACCACACAATTGAAATTGATTTATGGAAATAAATTCCTTTTAATAATTATGACAAACATTATAACCGATGTAACAAACTGATCAATTATTATGAGAATTTAGGTTTAATTCAAATTTGACTTTTATATTCAAACATCATATCAGATCAGTTCACCAAAAGATATATACTCTGTATTGGAGTACAACTCATTGATCAGTGGTTCGGCCGCTTCTGCGTATATCACATGTACTGTAAGTCTCTTCACTTGTATTGTGTTTCAGAGGAGAGCAAAGAATTGGTCCGATATTTGCATTACTTTCTAAACGCTCTCACAATGTATTCAAATAGAAAACCCATAGAAATAATTCCTAACCTTTTTACATTTAAATAATTTGTTACGTAAACTATAGTTTGCATAATTCATTTCTTTTAAATTCACGGTTAGATATAATGTATTTTTGTACTAATTAGATAGCGCATGACATTTTATTAGTTGACCATAGTGCTCTTTGTATATAATAGAAATATTGTATTTACTTTTATATTGATATAATTATTATGTAGCATTTACAGAACTTTATTATATAATTTTATCCATTTAATATATTGATACAATTTTTATTTAAATAAAAAACTCATAAAGGGAATGAGAAGGGAAAATATTTTTAAAAATTGTCAACTAAAACTTATTTTATTAGACGTTTTAAAACTTATTGTTTTAAGAATTATAGGAATAATTAATTTTTGACAATAAATTTACTATTAAGTTTATTTTCGTATTATACATTTTAGATATTCTACAATATTCAGTATTACCGATAATAAGTTACAATATGATATCATTAACAAGTATGATATTGCTTAAATTGTAAATTACATTACGAAACCTATAGTTCATGTAAATTTACATGTGCCTTGAAATTTATAATAAGAATATATTTGTCTAACAGAGTCCGGAAATTTTAATTAATTTTTATATTGTATTAAAAATTTTCTTAAAATAAAGTTATTTTATTTTTTAATTAAACAAAATTTTGTTTTAAAATTTCAACTACTTTAAAATGTTAAATATAAATATTTAAGAGGATTATTATTATAAATAATTTGTCATTTTAATAGTTTTAAATTAATATTATTATTAAAAATTGTTAAAACAACTCTAATTAAGCATTAATAAGAACCATATATTAATATAGTTATTAAATTATTTAAGAAATTTATAGAAACAAATAATTAATAAGTAAACTTTTTAAAAGCGATTCTATGTCGTTTTTTAAATTAAGTACATTACAATCTATATAGTATACTGCTGTATTTGAGAATTTTTAAAATTTCATTTATAGATAAATATTAGTGATCTTTTTTATTCATATGAGTGCAAAATGAGTTTAATATATTATTACATAGTTAATAGATAATTTATAAAGATTGAAAATATATTAAATTAATTAATA